GGAGGAGCCCCGCGCTGCTTTGGGGCTGTTGTCCCGTGCTCCTCGTCCTTCCTGCCGCTCCCCATCCCCGCGGGAAGCGGGGCCCTCGGGAGGTGACCCCGTCCCTCCCCGCGGGGGAGCGCGGATCCCCTTTGGGCTGCAGCGACGTCCCGAGCCCCTCTCCTCCCGCTCCCCGGCCACCCCAGCCCGCAGCGAAGGTTTGCGTGCTGCTGCCTCTGTGCCCAGTCAGTCACTGCAGCCCAGGGTGAGGTTGCCTTGAAGCGCTCGGCAATGAGATGTGGCTTTAGAAAACAGTTCATGCGTTTCAAACAAGTTCTGACAAAAGAGATACGGACCGCTGTTCTGGTGACTGCGAAATCAAACGTTGTTCCCTGCCATGCCTGAGAACAAACATTGCTGGGTTTGTCTGAACAAGACGTGCCAGCGCTTCTTTGTGCACAGCTCTTACGTGCCCTTGCAGGGTAGAGAAACACATGGAAACGTCCAGCTCTGAAGGAAGCAGCAGGTGTAACTCTCAGATGAGGGGTGGGATGTGCCCAGGGGGGGAGCTGGGCTGAAGCGAGGCACAGTGCACCCTGGTGATGTGGATGACTAAGATGTGGACCCTTGCCCCTCCATCACACTAAAACTCTCCTGGGTGGGCAGTTGCTGCTTCTCATCTCAGACACGGCACGAGGAAGCAAGGAGTTCTGGGCAAGGGGCATTGCAGTGCTCCCAGGCACAAAATGCCATCCCCCTGGTCCACCTCTGCAGAACTTCTGGTGCTTGGGGCTCTGCAGAGCTGTTTGGCTGAGCCCTGGCTGGGAGTGGGGCTGTGGATAAATACTTGGAGACTGGTTTCCAGCCCTGGAGCCTGCATTGTAAGATGAATACAGCTGTAAAAACACCAGATGGAAGAACACTTCTTAAAACATCTTTGTATGTGTTTCCTTAGTTTCTAGATAACTGGAAAATGGCCTGAATGCTTTGATTTGGGATTTTAACCCTCTTCTTTCAGTCCCAACCAGGGCAAGTAGCAGCTGCAGTGATGGCTGCCATCGACGCTGGGTACCGGCACTTTGACTGTGCCTACGTGTACCAGAACGAGAATGAGGTTGGGGAAGGGATCCAGCAGAAAATCAAGGAAGGTGTCGTGAAACGAGAGGATTAAATACTTGGAGACTGGTTTCCAGCCCTGGAGCCTGCATTGTAAGATGAATACAGCTGTAAAAACACCAGATGGAAGAACACTTCTTAAAACATCTTTGTATGTGTTTCCTTAGTTTCTAGATAACTGGAAAATGGCCTGAATGCTTTGATTTGGGATTTTAACCCTCTTCTTTCAGTCCCAACCAGGGCAAGTAGCAGCTGCAGTGATGGCTGCCATCGACGCTGGGTACCGGCACTTTGACTGTGCCTACGTGTACCAGAACGAGAATGAGGTTGGGGAAGGGATCCAGCAGAAAATCAAGGAAGGTGTCGTGAAACGAGAGGACCTCTTCGTCGTCAGTAAGGTAAAGATCTGGTGACCTTGGATCCAGAGGAAGGCCTGCTTTGTGTAGAACGTGTTCACAGGAGGGATTTCAGAGCGGTGGGGAAAGACTGTCTGCTATAGCATGCAGTGATTCACAACACAGTTCAGGTCAACCTGATGGAAGTTTCTTTTGTCACCTTATCTTGTTGAGGGTTATCTAGCACATGACTGTAGCATTGCATTTTTGTGGGACTGTTCAAAATATGCTTTAAACAGTCCAAGAAAGTAAGTTGGTTTTTTTTAGTTGCTTATGCAGGAAATCCTAGATTTGGCTCACCACTGAAATTATTAACTTAAAAAGAGCTCTTTAACCAGTACTTGCTTGTAGTAAGTGGCTTTTACATGTCGTGCTTAACAGGACAGGATTAGTGTTTTTCAGTTTACAAGTCTGTTTGATCACATAAGGCACCACAACCCTCAGTATTACAAGTTGATCCCACTCACAGGGTGAGCCCCATCTGAAGAGCACTAGGATGGCCTAGTTCCACATTCCTTTCCAAAGGGTACCAGGATGCTCCTGAACAGAAGGGGTCCAAGAGTTTTAACCCCAGGGGTCACCATGTGCCTTGGCTTTTTGTCTCTAGCTGTGGAGCACATTTCATGAAAAGCCTCTGGTGAAGGGAGCCTGCCAGAAGACTCTTGCAGACCTGAAACTGGATTACCTGGATCTCTACCTCATCCACTGGCCTATTGGGTTCAAGGTACAGTAACAGCAATGTCCTTGGCTTTTCCTCCTATGAGACCTCCTCAGAACTGCCAGTAAGGCTCACAGCACTACTGCTGCTCCAGTCCAGAAAGAGCACGTGTCTGCTGTGTCTACCAGCACTGCTCTGGTGCTGCTCATTCAGCTTTATGCTGGCCACGTGAGCTGGGCTCTTGATCTCTGCCCTGAGACTGCTGCTTATACAGTGTCCTCTGCCCTTTGGATATCAGAGATGTAGATGTAGCTCTAAAATCAGGTCTCCCAGCTGTAAGCATGGGTTGTGCTGCTTTACTTTTGGGTAGGCATTGTCTTCTACACATCTAAAGTATACTCATCTGCCACTGATTTAGCCTCCTACTTTGTGGGACAGAAGGCTGTGCTGCCTGACAGAATTTATTTCCCCTGCATCTTACAGAATCACAGAGCAGAAGAAAATTCTTCTATTTTCCATTTCTATCTTGAATCACTAAGTCTTTAATACAGCCCAGATTGAGCTGACCTTTCCTGCAAGAGCCTTAGTTTTGTTCCAAAGATCTTGGGTTTCAAAAGGTGAGAGTTCCTGACATTTGAGTTTCATACTTTATATACTTCAAAGGAGCTGGTATCTCAGTCTTCTTCTACTCATAGTTTTTCCTTTCTGCTACAGAAAGGTTAAGATCTCCATCCTCTTACTTTTGAGCTTATTAGCTATTTATCATACTTTCAAAGATGTTACGGTTAGTTTTATAGGAACAAAGTCCTTGAATAGAAAAGTCATGGCATAATACTCTGACATCTGAACAACAAACTAGGTCTAGAGCAATATGGAGATGTGGGGACCTAGCTCTGTTCCCCTGTGTCTGAGATGTCGTGTTTTTCCCAGTGCCACCCACTTCAACTGAGGCTGCCTCACAGAAGACCTGTGTGTGTATGTAATATGTGGTTCAGCAAAAGTGGCTTATTCTAGATCTAACGTAAATGTCCATCAGCCCTAAGCAGGTCATTACACCTTTCAAAAAACAAAGCTTCAGAAAACAGTTCTTGTTCTCCCTCAGTAGGCATGATAGAGCAGAGCAAGCTTGTTTGTTCTGCTTTGTTCCACAAGTGGTGTGACTTGTTTATCTGTATGTGTTTTGGTGAGTCACCACGTTGCTGGGTCCAGGAGATAGACCTGTCCCTCTTACTAGGAATGTTGCTGGCAAAATGCCATGAACCTGCATGAATGATGTAGAAAAGTTATTAGGACTTCCTGCAGTGAAGTCAGTGATCATGGTCCTACTTTTCTTGGTATAAGCTTCCCGAAAAAGAGTGTTTCAAACACTTTCTTTGTCGCTGACAGGCAGGAGAGGAGCTGTTTCCCAAAGATGACAAAGGCATGTCAATATTCAGCAACACGGACATTCTACATACATGGGAGGTAAGTTCAGCCACAGTGGGAGAATCACATCTTCCGTACTTGGCAGTCTTTTCCAGGCTTTCATTACCTTCAGCAGTCACAAAGTTCTTATGCCTTTATCTTGTGGTGTACACTGCAGCTTTTTAAAACATAATGTTTAGTCAAACTAATAATCTTCAGTGGAGTTGCAGATTAGGCTACTTGACTGTAATAACCACAGAACTGTCTTCACCACAGGTCTTTAAACTGCCCAAATACACTTTGCAGGAATAAACATATTTCAGGTTGTGATCTTGCCTGCAGCCTGGGGTACAGTGCTCCAGTGCTGGCTTGATAGCACAGTATTGATTATCAATTATGTCCCACATGTAACTGACCTGGTGTTCCTTCCATCTCAAGGAATGAACCTTTGGGCTTGGGTGAGACGAAGATGTGGCACAAATACACCAGTGCACACTTTTCCCCAAGAGACAAACTTCACCACTCCCAAACAGCTGTCCTTCCCCTTATGGAAAGGAAAATAAGCCATCCCAGGAATAACACCTTCAGTCCTTGTCATGCATACTAGATGCTAGACTTTGCTTCTCTTTGCCTTAGGCCATGGAAGAGCTGGTGGATGCTGGTCTGGTAAAAGCCATTGGAATCTCCAACTTTAACCATGAGCAAATTGAAAGAATCTTGAACAAACCAGGACTGAAGTACAAGCCTGCAAATCTCCAGGTAAGCTGCACTGCAAGTGTACAGTTTCCAGGCATTATCAAGATTTGACTACAGCTGAGTGAGGAGATGGAAGAAGGGAGAACAAAGAGATAACAGCATGTAAACACCCATTAGGATGTTGTAGATCTCCTGTATCCTTACAGGGGATGAAATTGTGGAACACAAATCACAACCATAACTTCTTATAATACCTTACTTGTTCTGTTACTGGCAATGGCATCAACTCGTTGCTAACAGCAGATGAGTGTTCACACAACAGATGCAGTTCTTCTCATGCATGAATATAGGCATACACAATTCACTCAGTCACCCAGTGGAAAATGGGAGGTCAGTTTAAACTGTGTATGCAGAAGCACATGATTGGCATACCAGGAGGTTCCTGGTATCCACCCTGAAGACTTTTCTCCTTATATAAAATCAAAAGTGTATGTGTGTCTACACACATGCAAAAACCCTAGGTTTTGTCTGCACACAGCAGCCCCTGCCCCCTTGTATGCCATAGCTACATAACCTGCTGCAAATGCTTATTTCTCCAAGTGGCCTTGTACAGATTCAAAAATCCATTACAGTTCTGAATTCAGTAGTTCTTGCATTTTGCTAAGAGTACTAATCTCCAGATCTTGTAAGTCCTAAGGATACTTTAACACTTTCTCTGCACATAGCTACCAAAAAAAAAAGCAGGCTACAAGAAAAAATGCATCTCCATCCAAAATCACAGGTATCTCTAGAACCTCTTTACACAAACTGTCAAGAAAGGAGCTTTTCTGACAAGAACAGAGAAGGTGGCAGAACAGAGCAGATGGAGCGTGTTCTTCCAATACCACTAATATTAGTACTGAAAATACAAGGGACTGGGCTTTACACTATTTGCTAAACTACTGCTTCAAAATCTCAGAAACACACCAGAATGTGCCTTCTCAGGACCAACAAACCCAAACATGAGCTTTATGAAATGCTCTTTCCCCAGAGCAAAGACCCAGAGATGCAAGAAGCCTTACTGTAAAAGCAGGTGCTGTACAAAACTAAAGCTGAATAATACTTTGCAAAGAGTGGCACATTAGGGCAAAAACTGAACTGTAAGTGCATTAGGAGAACTCCTGGAGCAAGTTACACCAGTTGTACTGCTATCAATCTTTGCATTCTTGTGTTGGCAGATTGAATGTAATCCATACCTTACCCAGGAGAAGCTGATCAAGTACTGTCAATCCAAAGGGATTTCTGTGACAGCATACAGTCCCCTTGGCTCTCCTGACAGGCCATGGTAAGATTACTTTGTGATTTTTGAGGAAGCTGGCATGGATTATGCTTGTGACATTGAGGCTACAAGTGCACCCTTCATCATTTATACAGTTTCTGTTCCTGTCTTTCCTCTGTGTAGGGCTAAGCCAGAGGATCCTTCCCTCCTGGATGACCCCAAGATCAAAGAGATTGCAACAAAGCACAAAAAAAGCACAGCCCAGGTATGTAGGTGCTGGACAAGGGACAGCCCTTCCAGTAACACAGGGCAGCAAAGGACAAAGTAAAGGACGGGCTGGCTCTTCATTCCCTGTCCACTGTGGTGCTCTTCTGTGATGTTAAGTAGCAGTGCACGTTTGTTTGCTACGTGGCCTGCGGTGTATCAGTGTGTGCTTGTAAGGGCTGACTATCAACCAGGAGCATTTTCTTGACCCATCTTCAGATGCTGTCATGATTCAGTTTTCCCACAAAGTCCTATTGCAGAGAATGAAATGTTAATTAAAGTCCAGGTGGGAACTGATTTTCCCAAAAAAGGAGGCCTTCCATGTGAGGCTTCAGCACTTCCCTTTTTGTTCTTCAGGAAGCGCTACCTGGGCTGCAGGGACAGGAATGATTAGAAATGCAGCTCTCCAGAAGCAGGTGTAGCTTAAGGAAAACGGCCATTGAAGAAGCTCTGCTTCCTCCAAAGCAGGAGGAATGACTTGTTTTTCTGTTCTTCCAGGTTCTCCTTCGCTTCCAGATCCAGAGAAACGTGATTGTGATTCCCAAGTCTGTCACTCCACAGCGCATTGTGGAGAACTCCAAGGTGAGACGTTACGAGTGTCCTGGGTGCACAGCATGTTCCAGGATGTTGTGACTTCCCCCTGCAAAGCTCTCCTCCTCGTGCAAGAGGATTTTTTGCTTACAGTCTCTGATTTGTTGAGAGAGGTGGTTTCCAGCTGTTTTTCTTGTTAGGTGTTTGACTTTGAATTGACTAAAGAGGAGATGGCAACTATTTGCAGCTTTAACAGAAACTGGAGAGCATATACAATGAGCACGTAAGTGGTAACATTCAGTATTTGTTTTTTCCAAACCCTTAAGTCCTGAACACTGCACACACTGAGACATTGTATCTAAGAATTGCCTTGAATACTGACAGCCTAAGTCACTGGCAAAGGGACTCAGGTGTTCCCAGTGTAGAAATGGCATGCACTATCCAGGAAAGCAAATATGGAACAAATCCATTCTACAATGATGTAATTCAGAGCCTGCCTTAGTGGCTCCTCTAAGCACTTACTACAGCTTGATATATTAAATTAGAACAGAAAAGAAATAAAAAGATGGCTGAAATTGATTTATTTATTCCCTTCAGGTCCAAAACTCACAAGGAGTACCCTTTCAATGCAGAGTACTGAAGATGGTCATATCCGGCCCTCATATTCTTCAGGGCTTGGTCTGATATTCTTCCTACCCATTACCTAGCTTTCTTACTGCATCTCTCCTCCTGCAGCCAGTAAAGTCACAGGATATGTATTCAGTGATTTGTTGTGGTGGCTTTCCTTTTTTTGAAATCAGGACACAGTAAAATTTTTCTGAAGAGTAAAATGTGTGCTGTAATAATTGTCTGCCAAAATGTGGAATTAAAGAGAAAACAGGCACAGGCAACTACACATCCACACTTGTACTTCATCTTTTATCAACAGGTTAAGGAGGATAATATCTGATAAATGTGAACTAAAGACTACCTTCCTTAGGACGAGTGAGACAGCTAGGAGTTTTACCACTCCAAAACTAACTTTTTTTTTTTTTTTACTATTTATTACTCTCAAAAAAAAAAATATATGCAGAAAACATACAGATGCATGCTGGGCAGTATTTTTACACAGAATTTCTCCTATATATTAAAATACAATAGCAATGTGGGTTTTGGATACAACACAATTTCAATAAGTCCTTAAGATTAGTGTGATTCTTTACTCTTAAATGGAAAATTGTTGACAAGCAAAAAAAACCAAAAAAAACCAGCCCAGAACTTGTACCTGCCATTTCATTCCATTTCCCAACTTTAAGAAAATAATCTTTAAATGGAATGATGGAATAGAAGATTCCTGCTTGATGAAAAAGGTCTTCTCCTTTGAAACTGTGAGCATTTACGCTCTTGCCTAGATCTTATAGCTAGAAGTGACACAGGATGCTACATCAAATACTATCTGACTTCAGGAATTTACTTCAATCTGTACTAGTTCCATTGTTTCTAAATTCAATATTCTACATGTTTGCAGATAAAACTGATGGTTTGTTCATTAGGGGTTTTTGTTAGATTGTTTTGTTGTTGTTGTTTTTCAAACTAAAACTTCCAGAAGAAGGTAATACACAGGTCCCTGGGCCAGGAACAAAATGTGGCAGAGCAATGCTGTACAAATACATTGTCTTTCTGTACAGAACTACTAGACAGATGTTAGCCTGTTGCAGGCAAGAGAAAGGAAAATTTCCTTGCTGTTCTGATTTTTAAGACAGTTTGTATTTCAGACCCACTCTGTGCAGCTGTACTTGGCATTTGCTCCTAAGTCACAGCCAGATGCCACAAAGTCTCTCTGCCGGAGACTCATCTTCCCCCAACTTTACATACTGATCTCAGGACCAACCTCTAAGCTTTGAGAGCCAAAGGAGATTGGGGCTGAACAGGGGCAAAACCCTTCAGCACCATCCATTGCATCCACGGCAGCAGCTGCCCTGGGTTCAGACCCAACTTGCTTTTTAGGCTCTCTAGTCCTCACTCACCCTGTCTCCTGAGAGCAAAAGTGAAACACGCTGCAGCCACCTGCACTTCGGGGACACGGATCCTCCCCAGGACAGCGCAGCCACTCGGCACCTTCCCCTGCGGGCACCAGAGGGCAGACAGTCCTCAGAGGAGACCCGCGTTGCTCCCGCCCCGCAAGCATTTCACATGCCACACACCCCCGGTGTCTGCCCCTCCGTGCTCAGCCCAAACCACTGGCACCTTAGGACCTCCTTTCCAAAATGTCCACTTTCAATTCGCAAAGATAGAGCCCAAGACCATGTGTTTCCCAGCTTCCTGTAGGAAGCAGCTCATAAAGACCTCAGCGATCTCCAGGCAGAGGTGAGACATCCAGCCTCGGAGAAAATACACCACGTTCTTGAACCTAGTAAAGGTACAATATTTACTGTTGCAAAGATTTAGGGAAGTTCTACCACCCTTCACCTTTCCTCTGGAAAGCTCTTGTTCAAACACTTGCTCCAACTTACTGCAAAGCCATCTTTGTGGACAGTCACACAAATTCATCCAGACATTCCTTGGCCAAGGGCACCACTTACAGCCCCATGCCACCCACGCCAAAGGGCTCTCCTACACTCTCTTGAAGGGTCTCTCCTCTCTCCCCAGAGCATAGACAACAACCTACTGACAGTAAGGAGGCAACAGAGGGGTTTGGCCATATGGTCTTGCCGAATCAGGCCCAGTGCTGGGGATGTGCAGACAGGAGCTTCCTGCTTAGGGCTGGCAGATTGGCCTGGATCTGCCACAGAGAGTGAGGGTACATGCCCACAGACTCGTTTCTAGAGCTCAACTTAAATACACAGTTTTGCCAGATCATCAGACTAGTAGCGAGATATCAAAATTATCAAAGGCTGATGTCTTCAACCAGACCCTTGTGGAAACACAGAGATGGTAGTAAAACCTCAGATTATGATCCTAGCTTGATGTGAACTCAGTGCAAGAAAGATGCCAAGGCCTTAGAATTGGATTAAACCTCTGCCCTCCTGTCTGCACTCCTGCCTCAAAAGCACCTGAAAGTTTGCTGCAGCCACCTGCACTTCGGGGACACGGATCCTCCCCAGGACAGCGCAGCCACTCGGCACCTTCCCCTGCGGGCACCAGAGGGCAGACAGTCCTCAGAGGAGACCCGCGTTGCTCCCGCCCCGCAAGCATTTCACATGCCACACACCCCCGGTGTCTGCCCCTCCGTGCTCAGCCCAAAGCACCGGCCCTGCCAGCCTCGGGGCTAACTCCCCAGGCAGCACCGAATGCTCTGAGCCTGGGGCACCCAGCCCAGGACAGGTACTCAGCAGTTTTGGCCTATCCCACTCCAACCATCTGCTCTGGCAACCCCCTTCAAGCCAGCCGCTCCCACCCACTACTGCCCTGGCTCCGCAGCCCCAGGGATGTGGCCTGGGGCTCCCAGCCCCCCTGCAGCAATGGAGGCTTGCCCACCCGCATGGGGAGCAGCAAGGCCTCAGCCCACCAACCCCTTAGGCCTCTTCACCTCCAGCAGATTCTGGCTCCCGAGGGCACAGTACAGAGACACAAGTCCCAGCAACCCAGTGACGGCAGAGCTGGGCACCTATGCTCCTCACATAGCCCTACATGCATAGGAGCATACCCAACGCAGGGGAGATGTGCACGGGTACCTCTCAAGGAACGTGTCCCCACACCTCCTCATCTGACACTCAAACTCAAGCCATCGAAACAGTCAAGCTTCCTTTAACAACACTGGGTGAAATGAGGAAGTATTTGCTTTTCTGGCTGTGTCACCTTTCTGTTTGCTCCTACTGGGCAGGTGACCCAAGGCATAATCACCAGCTGGTGCAAGTGTGCACCATTTCTGTAATTTCATTCTGAGCAGAGGGCTGTTGAGAGAGTGCTTATGCTCTGGGGAGCAGCACTCCCATCTCCACAGGTCTACTTAACCGTGCAATCCATGCTGCCTGAAAGGGCCTTGTTTTTATTTTACCATCAGTCCTCAGTTTCACTCCGGAGGTGCCAGGGCCCCCCTCTGAGGCAATCACCTCAGACCACTTGCTGCTTCTGCAGCTGCAGCCTGGCCTACCTGGCACACAGCTTCTGGCCAACTCTGAGCAACTAACTCTTTGCTTCTGACCAAAGGCCTCCCTTTGCCCTGAGCACTTGTTAGTGCAGACTACTCTAACAAAGATCATCAGCCTGACTTCCCCACTCTGCTAAGCAGTTGCAGTCCCTCTGAAGCCCCGTTAGCAGCAGCAAGCCCCAACACACGACTGTGTCACAGCAGCACACCTCCCATGTTTCACAGCCAACCCCCCAGCAGCTCCCCAGCCCATGCTTTTTGATCCTATGATCAGGATCAAAGTGCTGTCCCAGAGACAGCACTGCACCAGGTTACTGGGTCATGGGCTTGGGGGACCTATCTACACCTTCCTAAACACCTTCCCACCCAGCAATAGTCTCCCCAGGTCCCAGCTTCCTCCAGGTTTTCAGACACTCGCTGCACTCACTCCTGTACACACAACAGTTGTGCCAAGAGTACCACCACGCAGTCCCACAACCAGGATCATGGTTCCTTCCAGAGTCACTCTCATTACTCCATTTCTGGGCCATGACAGAGCTAGGTGTACCACACATTCTCCAACAACTACCATTCCAGGCAAAGCAGTCTCATCTCAGGGAAATCTAACCTGATTTTTGGCCAATTATCATAAACATCATTTTACCGATTCAGGTACTGAGGGGAAAAAAACAAACACAAAAACCAAACTTCAGTAAATGCCTTTCTCCCCCTTCCCCAGACTGTTTAAGCCAAACACCAAACCTCCTGCGCTGCCCTCCCTATCCCCTGCCAGGGGAGCTAAGGGGGGAGGACACACAGGCTCTTCCCATGGCTAGCAATACCAGTTTCAGAGCTGGCCAGAAGTGGTTCTGACCTGCCCTGGGGCAGTTTGTGGTTTCCTTCTGCCTAGGTCTCCCCTGCAGAGCTAAACCTGCCCTTCTCATGCAGTTACTGCAGCAAGCAGTGGGGAAGATTCTTCAGCGCTTGGCTGGGCCCAGGGCATGTTATTTAAGCAGATGGAATTAATGGACAAATACTAGTGCAAAGGGGAAAAGCCTCATCAACTCTGAGAAGATGGGAAATCCATCAAATTATGCTCCTGGCTTGGTCTGAGCTCAGAGCAAGAGGCTGAGGCATTCTACAGATGAGTTCAGCCAAGGCCCTCAGATGTGCCTCCTGGCACCCAGAGATTGAACTGGAGCACCCCACTGAGCAAGATGAACCTCCCTTTTTCAAGGCTCCAAGCAAGGGACAAATTCCCATTGCCCTTCCCTGGGATTCAAGCTTGAAAACCACAAGGCTTCACCTCAAAGCACTGGCTTTCACACCGTATCTGTCAGCACCCCTAAAGCTGCAGTTCTCCCCTTGCGAGCTGAGGTGATCCCCACTCTGCCACCTCCTTACTTTGCCTGTGTGCTTTTTCAGCAGGCCACAGGGTCTCTGCTGGTAAAGTCTGCTTCCATGAGGAAATACCCACTTTGATTATTTTGGACCCTGTTCCTCTCAGATACCAAACACCGCTGGTCTCCAAAGTCACAACTTGTGGTGAAATAGCAATTACTAAATGCCAAATCAGCAAAACAAACAAAAAAACACCTCACGATACTGCACATCCTGTCTTGGTGCAAAACCTCACACATAGACCCAAGAAAAAGAAAAAAAAAAGAAAACCCTTTCCTCCCCCTTGCAATTCCTCACTGCCAGCTTCCCCGTAAAAACAAGAGCTGGTCTTGTTATTATCAAGGACACAGCTCACAAGATTCACCAGGCTGGCTGTCCCGGAGTGACACATGCAGTACTTCTGCTTCCCCCGAGGCCCTGCCACCATGTGACGGCCCCTGCCTGGCCTTTGGGAGAGATAAACAGCAGAAAGGCAACGTGCCTTGCAGCTGGGAGGGAAACCTCTCCCACGGACAAGAGCAAGACAGCAGAAGCAAAATACCAAGCTTCTGCCTGAAAGCTCCTGTGAAAAGACAGAGGCATCTCTCCGACAAGAAACCGCCAGGGAAAACAGAACCCACACGGTAAAGTGATAAGCACCAAGTTATGTAACAGCTTTGTGATCCAAGTGAAAACACATCGCATCCTGCCGGGGACATTAAAGAGGAAAACCAATTACCTTGCCTGCCCTTAGTTAAATGAAGCAGAAAAAGGAAAACAAAACAAAAAAAAAGCGAGCTGCAGAGAGCACAGGCCTCTGCCGTGGGAGAGGCACCTGGGGCACACGCTCACACCTGAAGAAACTCTCCACGAGTGAATGAGCAGCAAAGCCTTCCGGGCAGCTTGGTTTTTTCCACTGCGCTGCCAGCTCTGCAGCAGAACAGCGCACGCTTGTCTGCAGGAAGTCCCAAGGCCGGCTTCTGGCACATTACTGGACACAGACCACACATCGTTACAATCGTGCGTTTCATTCTGAAATGCCCTCAGCACCCCCCTAAAGGTGGGGAGGACACAATTTGGTCATTGTGTCACTCATAAAAAAGCCGCCGTTCCTCTTCCGCACCTCTCCCGGCGTTCCAAATACTGTTCTTGTTTCAACGCACTTTACCCCAAATCACTCCTGAGGCCGCACTCACCTCCCCCTGAAGCGGAGGCTGCGTTTGTCCCACCTACAGAGGTGAAGGGGCTGCTGCCTGCAGGCACATCTCGCTTCACTAGTGCAGGGAGGCACAAGCC